GCAGTCTGAGACATCGCTCTACGAGTAATGTTCGACGGGGGTTTATTACTCAAATGACCCACTTGGATCGCAGCTATTTTAGCGTACACCACCCAAAAAAAACAATTTTTTTTTCAATTTTAACCCACTTTTCGGTTGAAAAAGTCTGAAATACCCTTTTCTTTTTATTTTTTGCGACCTTATTACGACTAACATATAACTAATATACAACTAAAATAAGACAAATAATTTTTTTGCCATCTTTTTTAGAATCATTTGTAACTTTTTTGCCACCTTTTTTAGAATTAATTACGAAGTCGTAATAATGAAATTGTTTTCGAACGGATAAATATCGTATATTCATTAAGGGTAATTTCGTCTTTTAAAAAAAAATAATATGTTATGTTTTTTTGTGGTGTATACGTGAAATAGACCCAAGTGAGTCATTTGAGTAAAAAACTCGTTCGACGGATAGGATCGGCTTTGCGGCTATTCGAAGGGCTCTTTGGACATCGACCTTGGGTTACGATTATGGGCTTAAATGGGCCGTTATTGGGCTTTCTCAGCTGAGAACGCCGTCTCTCTTGGATTTTTCTATCGAAATTTCTTGTCACTTTCCCGAGAAAGTTGAGATTTCATTGCAAGTTCCATACGATATGAATTAGTCTTTGCGAAGACCTCTGTCACTTGTTTCTCAGAAACTTTTTTGTTAGGAGAAGCATGGAGAACTCAGCTCAGGATTCTCGATCCAGATCGGAGACCGCCGTCACCTACGATTCTCCGTATCCCCTCTACGCCATGGCCTTCTCCTCCTCCCGCGGAGGCGGCGCTGCCGCCACGAACAGCCACCGCATCGCCGTCGGAAGCTTCGTCGAGGACTACAACAACCGCGTCGACATCCTCTCCTTCGATTCCGATGCCCTAACTGTGACTGCTTTCCCCAATCTCTCCTTCGAGCATCCTTATCCTCCGACCAAGCTCATGTTCAGTCCTCCCTCCCTCCGCCGCTCATCCGCTGGCGATCTGCTCGCCTCCTCCGGCGATTTCCTCCGTCTTTGGGAGATCCGCGAGGATTCCTCCTCGGTGGAGCCCGTCTCCGTTCTCAACAACAGCAAGACGAGCGAGTTCTGCGCGCCGCTGACCTCCTTCGACTGGAACGAGGTTGAGCCGAAGCGGCTCGGGACTTGCAGCATCGACACCACCTGCACGATTTGGGACGTCGAGAAGTGCGCCGTGGAGACGCAGCTCATCGCGCACGACAAGGAGGTCCACGACATCGCCTGGGGCGAAGCTAGGGTTTTCGCCTCCGTCTCCGCCGATGGATCTGTCAGAATCTTCGATCTCCGCGACAAGGAACATTCCACCATCATCTACGAGAGTCCGCAACCCGATACGCCGCTTCTTAGACTCGCTTGGAACAAACAAGACCTGAGATACATGGCAACGATTCTGATGGATTCCAACAAGGTTGTGATTCTGGACATTCGATCTCCGACGATGCCGGTGGCGGAGCTGGAACGGCACCAGGCAAGTGTGAACGCCATAGCTTGGGCTCCACAGAGCTGCAAGCACATCTGCTCGGCCGGGGATGACACACAGGCGCTCATATGGGAGCTGCCGACAGTAGCTGGACCAAACGGCATCGATCCGATGTCTGTTTACTCTGCTGGGTCGGAGATTAACCAGTTGCAGTGGTCGGCTTCACAGCCCGATTGGATCGGCATCGCCTTCTCTAACAAAATGCAGTTGCTGAGGGTTTGAGGTAGGTAATAGATTCTGCCTCTTCCTCGTTCAATTCAAAACATAGCCTTATCTGAAGCCCCGTTGTTAGGCTCAGTTGTGGAGGCCTAGGATGTACTGCGTTTGCTTGCATCGCCATTGCAGGGAGCCCCATTGCTAGCATTGGTTCTTTTTGGACATCCCTCTAATCTACTGCTAGACCTCAGTTCTATTAGAAGCTTCAGTAGAGGAAAACTAACTTGCGTAGATGTAGATAGTTTGCCTTCATTTGCTTGCTCAGCAACGCAGATTCTCCATCGGTATGATATTTTGTTTCAGTAGATTTCTCCTGCAACGATCTCTTAGATCCTCGCCAACCTCGTACAAACACGGTCCATGCAAATATCTTCTTCTTCTTCATCTTCCTTGTTAAGTGTTGGAATCATGTTGTATGTGATGGAGAATAATGGGTTTGGTCTGAGATCGTTGTAGGATGAATCCGTTGAAAGCGTCATTTTCACCGAAATAGTTTAGAGAAAAAATTGAATCTTGGAGGAATTTAAATATGTTACTATCATCTATAGTCGTCATTTTCTCTCTGTTTATTTTCGACTCAAGATCCTGATTGATCACATTTGGAGTACATGAACGTTTTGGTTGTGGGCGCAGATGTGAAGAGATGGAAGGGGGGGGTGTTGTTAGCTTAGGCGCAGTCAGTTCAGTTTGGTACCTTGAAAGTTAAAAAGACTATTGAATCTCCTCCTCCATTGTGTAAAAAGATGATAATATGTACCTTTCATTGAATACTGAGATTATAATCATCCTCGTGATGCTGACTATGTAATTCAGTGGTGTGTAGATGATTTATATATTTATTCGATAATATTAGCTTTTCATATATAATATATGTATGTATATTAGCAATACAAAACACGGTTACGATATGGGTAAGGAGTTTCTCTTTTATGCCCATGTCAATTTATTTACACTTTTATTTAATTCAATATATATATATATATATATAAGTGTTTTAAAATTACATTGTGTGTATATATAGGTGTGTAAATCGTGCGTCTGACAAAATTACCTTCCATTTTCGTTTCTCTGGGTCTGCAGCCCAAAGAAGGCCCAGGTCCAAAACTTCAATCACGTGATTCTCACGTGACCCTCGTTTCCCGATCCCTGTCAATTGAAATAGAAAACCCTAACTCTCCCTTATATAAATACCATTTCTCCTCATCGTTAACCCTAGCGCAGCAGCACTTGTCTCTCTCGTCAAGGTTCGGACTCGATCTCTATCTCCTTTACGTGTCTGTTCTCTGGGGAAATTCGCGATACGGCTGTACCAGTGCTTGGTGTTTGATTAATTTGTGCGTTTTTGTGTTTGTAGATCCGTTGGAAGGTGATATTCTTGCAAACAAGTTAGCGGCGATGGCCACCGGTGAGCTCGCTTGCACTTATGCCGCTCTCATCCTTCACGACGAGGGAATTCACGTCACCGTAAGTTACTTTCGTTCCTTTTCTCTCTTCCCGACTTATCTTTTGGAGTTCTTCGTAGGCCTTTTGGTTGATGTGATAGCCACGCTGATTTTTTAACACTTTTGGCTCTATGCAAATCCTTCTTCGAGTGGTTTCTGATTGGATTCCATGTTTGACTTGGCCAATTCAGGCTTAGTCCGCCAATATTTTGTGGGTTGCTCGTTTTTAAAATTGTGAATCAAGCTTTGGCTAATGACTTGTTTGTTCTCCAGTGGCAGATGGTTTTTGTTCTTCTCTTCTCTTTAGATTGTATTTTGTGGCCTTGGTTCCTGCGGTTTCTTAATGCGGCGTTTGTTAGTTTCTGGGTTTGTAATGTGGCTTTGATATTGGGCTTTAGCAGTATTATGAGGTGAACTATGTGACCTCTTCTTGATTCTCAACTTGTTGTTATCAAAGATGGCGTTCATAGTTTCTGGTGCATAGCTGCATCCAATGGCTCTGTTTCAAATTTTATTCTTGTTTTATGGAGAACATGTTGCTTGCATCATATGTGAAGTTATACTCGTGCATCTGACACTGGTTCTGGGTTGTGTGGACTGCTTATTGATGGTTATATCAGGCTGAGAAGATCTCGGCCTTGGTGAAAGCAGCCAACTTGACTGTTGAGTCCTACTGGCCCAGTCTTTTTGCCAAGCTTTGTGAGAAGAAGAACATTGACGATCTCATCATGAATGTCGGTTCTGGTGGTGGTGCTGCTCCGGTTGCCGCTGCAGCTCCTGCAGCTGGTGCGGCTGCTGGTGCGGCTGCCGAATCAGCCCCTGCTGCTGAGGAAAAGAAAAAGGTTTGTCCTTCCATTCGTAAATGTTTTTTTGATTGGTCATCTTCAATTCAATGTTGAGGTAGATCCAAACGAAACAAGTTTGCCTTAACTGGGGAAATTTGTTTTCATTGTTTGTGATGCATGAGCAGGAAGAACCAAAGGAAGAAAGTGATGATGACATGGGGTTCAGTTTGTTCGACTAGGCTGAGGTTCTGTTCCATATTTTCATTTGTGTTTCGAGGATTTTTGTCTTTGGGGTTTCCGTTCTAAAGAGCAAACCTTATTTTGTCGACTGTTTCTTGTCTTTTTAAGTTGAAAAGTTTCGCTGTTAGTTTGAAGAATTGACTTAATCATCTCCTTGGAGCTTATACATCGTCATGTTTCATAAAGTAGTTTTGTGACCAATCAAATACACTTGGTTCATTTCCGTATATGCAAAACCTAAATTGTACTAATGATTAATATTGTACGGAGTATCTGTTGTCATTAGTATAGCATTCTCTGTGGAAGTTTCGGAGAAAACCAGAGTTTTAGAAAGGGCTTATCGGTGATAGTCCGCTGAGTTGGTTCAGTCCGGTTTAATCTTGGTATTAGGCCGGTTTACTCTGATAATTTTGATCATGGAGAAAGTTCCGTACCATCTTTATAATTATGATGATAAGAAGTTTAAAGTATAATAATAACTTACGAAGTCGGAATTGGGCGTGGGTTGTTTCTTTAGTTATTTGTTTCTGGGAATTCACCCGAATCATATTCTTTATTTAATTAACTATTTATAATCATTATTTTTCAAGGCTTTGATTGGATCGTTGACGTTAGAATGTAAATGGAATTTGTTGTTATTCAATCGGATAAGCTCGAAACTCGAATTCCAAGCTTTCTATTGAATCGCAATGAGAACCGAAACGACGCGTAGTTTGACTTTCGGATAAAGGCTTCGTAGTTTAACTGTACCCCGAACGGCGCACTGTTCAACTCTGCAGTCCACAAAAAGGAGAACCAGCCGAAGAAAGAAGAGGAAAATTCAAACTTCCTTTCGATTTTGGTCTCCGATGCTCTGCTCGGTCTCCGGCGACAAGCCATCCGGCTCCACCTGGCTCGACCGCCTTCGCTCGAGCAGAGGACTCTCCGGCGCCAACGACGACGATGCCGGTGAAGCTCATCTCAGCCTCGACCACTTCCTCCGCCGCAACTACCGCCGCGAACTCGCCGGAGATCCCCCGATGAATGTCGCCTCCGACGATCCTCCTTCTGCTCCGACTCCGTCTAATCGGGAGCTAACGGAGAGTCCGAGGGAGGAGGATGAAAAATACGGCGGCGATGGAGAATGGTACGGCGTGATGAGCGATGTTCTGTCGGAGCTCTTCAATTTCGGCGGTGCTACTCCGTCTTCGACGATTTCCAGGAAAAAGTTTCGCAGGAAACAACCAAACCCTAGGCATTGCCCCGTCGAAGCCCCAAACAACTTAGCGGTGATGAATCTGGGCGACTCCAATATTCTCCCAGGTGTTCGTGAATTCGCCACGACGTCTCTGAATTCGGATAATAAGAAACCGGCGCCGGAGAAGAGGGAAAGGAGAAGAAGAATCGTGGAACCCGAGGAGGTGGAGGAGGAAGAAAAGGGAGAGAGGGATTTAGTTGGGTACTCGAGGAGCGAAGTGACAGTGATTGATACGAGCTTCGAGATCTGGAAATCCGAGAAACTGGTGTTCCGTAGGAAGAG